TGTTCGGAGTACCGGTTAAATGCATACCGGGCAGTGGCACTTGACCTTAAAAAAACATTGATGTAGGGCATACCATGCAAATTTATATCGGGCAGTGGCACTTAACTTGACCAAGTATATATTTCGGATATTTTCCAAAACGACTATGTGACATTCACCGGTGAAAGTCAACAACCACCAATTTCGGAGTAACAACGCCATTGAATAGTTGTATGTTAAGTAGAATTGCTTTGCATTGCATTTGTAGCTACTTCACTTCTAAATATGAAACACAGTGCATTCACAAATATACTTTTAGTGGTATTAATTCCAATATCGGCGTATTAGTCAGTGGCAGTTTGAATCACATTGAGGCAGTTCCACTTCGATGCCGGCTAATTACCGTACTAGTACGCATACGGGAATGAGCTCATACACATAAAGCACTGTGTGGTTGCCGGCTAAATAAGAAATTTTAACATTACCTTAACATTAATTAACAATTTTACATTACCTTAAATAAATTAATTACATTACCTTAAAAATTAATTACATTACTTGTTGTTGTTGTTAATTTACGTCGCACTAGAGTTGCACAATGGGCTATTGGCGACGGTCTGGGAAACATCCCGGAGGATGATCCTAAGTCATGCCATCACAATTTTGATCCTCTGCGGAGGGGATGGCACCCCGCTTCGGTAGCCCGACGACCTGCGCGCGATGTCGAGCACTTTACGGTAGCACAGTTTAACGAGGACCAATACCGCACACCCTCGGTCCCTACGCAGGCTGATCCAAGTGGTCACCCACCCGCACACTGACCGTAGCAAGTGATGATTGACTTTGGTGATCTGCTGGGAACCGTGTCTTAACGATCAGTCCACTACGGGACCGTACGCATCGTTGCATTTGTTAAAACGGGAATAAGATCATACACATAAAGCATTGCGTGGTTGCCGGCTAAATAAGAAATTTTAACATTACCTTAACATTAATTAGCAATTTTACATTACCTTAACTAAATTACCTTAAATAAATTAATTACATTACCTTAAATACATTACTTAATAACATTAATTTTAACTATTACCAAGTTACCTCCGCTAATTCGTTAGCTAATTACTTTCGCTAAGTGTTTTCTGAAAGCTGCGATGGCTCAGGGGATATAGCGTAACCTTCAAATGAGGTGAACCGAGTTCGAATCCCGGCGATGGCTGGTCGATACGAGTTCTGCATCCGACTAGTACAGTGATGACGTAAAAACATCCTCAGTGGTAGACGGATAATGAGTTAGAGTCCCCTTACCATCAGACAAAACGTGGGAGGTTTTCGGGATTTTCCTCACCATGCTACGCAAATGTAGTTTAGTTCCAACAAAATGTTCTCCGCGAATGCAAACACATCTCAATACTTGATCCAGGAGTTTCAATGTCTTCTGGATAGGGTTCAAAATTACAAGGCTACGGAGTTGAACATAAGTAATCGTAAACCCAAAAAAATTTGTCGGCTGTTCACCGATGGTTATAAAATATAAAATAAAACATAAATGTGCAGTGAAGGTATAACGCAAATTATTTTACATTTCACGACCATCCGGAAACAAAGATGCCACCTTTGATTGATAAAATCTATGCAAATTGATTAAAATTAGCAACTTTTTCTAGCCTCTCAGATTGGTATTGAAAGTGAAAATAAATAGTGTTTTCCATTTGGGTGTGAATAATTTTGCAATGTATGGTAATTTTAATTAAACAATTAAATGTGACTTGAGTTTTTACCACTTGTTAAATTTTTTTCCGCCTGTGGCTTCCCTGAGGAAAAAACTTTAGCGAATTAATAAAGTCTTAAAAATATCTAATAAAAATAAATAGCTAACACATGCATGAATAAAAAAAGAACGAGACGGTTTTTGGAATTAGTTGATTAGTGTTTGAAGAGTAAATTTTTGTTGGGAGTAAGTTTTGTTTGTATTTAAGGTTTATACTAACCAGTTACGGAAATTTCAATTTATCTTTGCAAAGTTACTGCTAAAAAAAAGAAGAAAAGAAAAAAAAACTGTTTCTTTAATCTATTTGTTTCAATGTTTTCTGCTTACACTTTGTGAACACAAAACAAATACAGTGTTAACCGTTGGAGGTGACTTTTTAATTTCAATAATTAGATATTGAGCAATGGTAGCTCAAGGGATAGAGCGTTTACTTTCCAATGAGGTGCACCGGGTTCGAATCCCAGTGGTGGCTGGTGGATTCGAATTCCAACCCGGCTCGCACTGATCACAGTACTGACGTACAACATCCTTAGTGGTCAATCCCCTTGACGTCAGGCTAACAGTGGGAGGCTTTCGTGGTTTCCTCTCCATGTAACGCAAATGTGGTTTTGTTCCATCAAAATGTCCTCCACGAAAGCATATTTCTTCCAATACTTGATTCAAGAGTCCTCTTATCTTCTGGTTTGGGTTCAAAATTGCAAAGCTAAGGAGTTTAACATTGGTGGTCTTAAGCCTTCTTTTGTCTTCTTGGTAGTCTTCTTTTTGTTTAAAAAAAATTCCTGGAATTTGATATCTTTAGTACTGTTGTGTCAGCTGTAAATATTTTCTGAGTTACAAACATCCTATGTAGTAGGGGTGCAAACATACTTTGCACCCCTACTGAAGATGCGACATCAATATCTCTTCTGATTGTTACTGTTTATTTTGTTTGCAGTGTTTGTTTGCATTTAGTTTATTTCTAAGTAGCACTGTTTTCAGGATTTCATATTTAATATTCTACTTATTTGTTAAAACCCTAACTTGAAAATTTTGAATATGTTTGCTCATGTAATTGAACTGTCACGCTCACTTCGAACTTTCGGACTGCCCCGGATGCCCCCTTACGGGGGCGGGACGGGCTTAAGCTTGTTATTGGTAGTCTTAAACTTGAAATTGGGTCGGCTGTTTAACGAATGTTAGAAATAAAAAAATAAGAAATTGTCTTTAGAATTGCTCAAGTTGCTTGATGCTTACCCTGATGTGCTCTCTAAAAAATCTGATCAGATCTGACATGACTCAAAAAGATAAGATAATGGACATGACTAAAAAATTCAAACAGTGATACCAAAACAATATCGTTCCACTCTATTTTTTGACGAAATTGCCCATTCGCTATAATATATTATAAAATTAATAGAAAAGCTGTAAAAGACTTGATAATGAGCCCATAGTTTAAATTATTAGAGATTATATTTTGTGTGTGTGTGGGGGGGGGGGTAACCTTATCTTCGTAGCGGCGTTATAGGGTGTTCACACTTTGGAAATATTTGATAAAATTGTTAGAAAATTTGCAGGTTTTACACGATGTTTATTTCAGTTAGATGCATTTTAACATCTACACAGGTTTCTCTTAATTTATAAATACATTTTGGTAGGTAGGAATTTGTTAAAGCATTTTTTTCCCTCCATTTTTTCCTTCCAATTTTTAAACTTTTCAAGATTGCAGCCATTCTATAATATGAATTCCTTGTGCACTTAGTTGTAATCTAGAGAAAATACAGAACGGTCTGCATATTTATCTGAAACTATCTGGTATCTATCTGGAAACAATAATAAGGAAAGGTTTGGAATATTAAAATATGTCACATTTGAAAAACATGAGTGTAACTTATCACATATACTACCCCAAATGCTTTTATGTATAAAGTATTACACTTAACACGGAGCAAATTAATATAGTGATTGCCATACTTTTATTAAATAAATGCGTTACGAACGATTAAATTTTTTTTTGTAATCAGTTAAGTAAAATTAAAAAAAAAACGAACAATTACTTTTTTGCTAAGCCAAAACATAGCACTTGAAATGCATAATAATATAAGAAAATCAAACGTGTGCTACTTATTTCTCTACTACTGTTTGATATTACTTGCTGAAATTGTAGTGATTCTAGATTCAAAAGAACAGTGTGTGATCACTTCAAGGGGGCTTTGAAATAGGTTTGGAGAATCATTTTTTTTTCATTTCTCCAACTAAAACCTGGTCTAATTGCACTCATGGTCATACTGTAAAAAATCCCCAATGGATGGTTGAATGAATGTAAACAATAACAAGCTTCCTAAAACCGGAAGGAATTTAAAAAAAACTTTCGGTGTATCCCTCCGCTTATGTTACGCTTACGAAGAGATGTGTGAAAAGGCTTACTATTCCAGGAAGTTTTATTATTGTGATTTGTGTTTAAATTCAGGCGTATTTTTACCATTCATACGAGTTTTTTGCAATTTATAAATTCTAACAGGTCGTCAGCCTTAATCAAATTTAACAAAATTAATATCACAGCATAAATAAAGTGCAAGGTTAGTCTTGTTTTGAGTGTTATTCCTTCTTTGGCTATATTTGTGTAAAATAGCACCGTTTGTTATTGTTTGGGGCGAAGTCTTTTGAATTCCTTTGTTGTTTGTTTCGTTGCAAGTTAGATAGAAACAACAAGTTACATTGTAAGCATTACAAGTTTAATAATATTGAATGGTGCGTTTTTTCTAACTTAGGAGTAAAAATCGGTCGGAAGTAGTAACCCAGAAATCCCAAGACGAATTTTAACCCCTAGCGCCATCTGCACTTAGCTTTACCCGGTCAACCAGTTACAGCGAAGGCCAGGATAACCTGGTTGGTAGGGCACTGGGCCCATGTCCAAGAGTTCGTGGGTTTGATCCTCGCCGGCCGAAGACTCCCTGTGTAGTAAATAGTGACTGATGCACGTAAAATCTGTCGAGTCGCAAAGTCCTCTATGTTCCCATAACAAATCAACACCTCTGGGAGTACTGATCCAGGAGTTCCCTTGTCTTCTGGATCGGTTCAAAATTACAAGGCTACGTAGTGGAATATTAGTAGTCGTAAACCCAAATTTGGGTCGTCTGTTCAACGACGGATATAAATAAAACCATCCATAGCAAAAGACAGCCTCTGATTTCAAACCAGTAGGAGTTCTCGTGACAGCTGAAAAGTACTTCCAATAGTGTATACATATATAAGTGATGTTTAAGGATATAAATACCTGTGGCACACGGAATAATCTCAGCAAGTTGGCGAGCTGAATGGAAACAGAAGATGATTGTCCACCAATAATGCCAACAACCCTGTCAAAGCTACCATTTCTGTAGGTGGGAAGTGAGCCATCGGTGCATCGGAAATGCTTGTCATTATGAGCATTGTTACGGGCAATAAACCCCTTGATGAAATCCAATGTTTGCTCCAAAGCATAGGCTGTTGAATCACAGCTGTCCAGAGCTAAAACACCCAGTTTGATGCCAGGAAGAATTTTCGGATCAGAGTTAATTTTCTTTATTGTGAATAACAATGCTTCCAATTGGTGGATGCCTTCATCCTTAAAGTAAAAAACGAGGAAAATACTTTTAAAATTTATAAAACTTTCGGTGTATCCCCCCCCACTTATGTAACGCTTACGAGGAGATGTGTGAAACAAGCTTAACATTCTAGGAAGTTTAATTTATGTGATTTGTGTTTAAATTTACGCGTAATTTTACCATTCATAAGAGTTTTTTTTTTGCAATTTATAAATTCTAGCGGCTCGTGAGCCTTAGGGGAAAATCAGTTTCAGAAGAAAGTTGGCATGCACTGCTGTTGATAACTGTTACATCATACGAATGCATCACTGCCAACCCGAAAGTCCTAGTTTCCCAGAATATTCAAAGCTGGTATCATATAACAATTTAAGGTTAACTTAATTTGTTTAATTTTTTCCGCATCCATTAGGTCCTATATGCTTAAGTTTGCCTTTACAGGGCTGTCAACTTTCTACGCTTTTAGGAAAAATTTCTTCCAGTGGTAACTAAGTTTATGCTTTAATGTATTATTCTTTCTTTTATAAATTTGATTCAAAGTTATTTTTCACACCACAACATGAAATTGATTTGAAGACTTACATGAAAAGCCACTTTATTCCAATGCTCTGGTGAGGAGGTTTCTAAAATGTTTGTCAAAATTAGCAAAAATTCTGTAAGCTTTAGGTTTTTACTGTCTACCACTCAATGCAATATTTTCCAAAAGCATAGTAGTTGGCAGCTCTAGAATCAAATCGTGCTCTGTGCCAGTTCACGGAGAGCTTCATAGAACCTGAATCGGTGCTTAGTACGAACCCTGTCAAGGATCTTAAGGTGTGGGAAAAAGCTTCAAAGTGGTACAGAGATGCAAATTGCTCCGGATTCAACAAAATATAAAAGAAAATTGTAGGGAACAACCGACTAAAATTTGCAGATTTTCGCTTATTTTTGCACGTTCTTAAAGGATTCAGCTCAGTTGCTAAAATGGCGGATTACATAAGCCTTTGAGCTATTCAGAAGTAGTGGTGATTAGAAACCCTACAAAGCGTATTTACTAAATCAGCAATCATACATTAAAAGAATACCACTCGAAAATATATGTCCGCTGTCCGGAGCAAGTTGGCATCTCTGGTGGTAGTTAAAGTACAGTCGAACTCGTTTATAACGAGCTCGGATTTAACGAGAACTCGGATTTACCGAGGGAAACGAGAATATTTGGTTGGATCAATGTTAAGTCTATGGAACAGAAATCGCTTTTGAGTAGCCACGAGCAAAACCCGGTTGTAGCGAGCATTATTTTTCTGTCTTGCATTCTTTTTTCTCATCTTTCTGTGTTATCTTTTTTTCAAAATGATATGAAATGAGCGAGTTCAAAGTAAGCTGACAAACTATTTTAAATATCTAAATTAATGAAAAAAATAAATGTTTTGGTAAGAATCTTTGCCTTTATTTTTCTTTCCGTTTATATTTTCTTTCTTTAAAGACTGTAGCGCAACTAGAAATTTTTTTGCTGGTTGGGGAGTTAGTTGTTATTAAATTAAGAAAAGTATTTAATTAAATTCATTAATGTAATTAAAGTAAGTAAGTATTAATTAAATTTTAAGTCAACTCAATCATTTGACCTCCCAAGCCCCCCCCCCACTTCTGGTTGCACGTCTGCCTTAAGGATCCGTTTATTACGAGCACTCGGATTTAACGAGTACGTGTTACGGTCCCTTTGTGCTCGTTATAAACGAGTTCGACTGTATTCACAGAGCCTGATTGAGGCAGGGGCACATGGAGCAGTTGCCTCCGGCCCCCAAATCGAATAGAATGTTTGTTTTAGGTTTCCTTCTTTAATGAACTTTTTATAAAGCAAAATATCAGTACAGCGTAAAATCAGTCAGTTTTATATTTACTGCTTCATGAATCTATTGTAAAAACACAATCTATATTTCGTAAATCCATGGCTTTCTAAGGGCCGAGTTCGGATAAATTTTCGCAATTAGGACGGATAAATTTGGCTTTGCGATATGCTTTCAAAAAATACAAGCTTCTGATTGGCTTAATTAAACCATCGTAATTGCAAAAATTTGGCTGAATTCCGGTCTGATATCAGCGAGGATTTGAATTTTTCGCAGTTAGATGAAAAAGTAAACAATCAGAAAATTGCATTCGGCATGACGGTCATAGAATTGTCAGAAAATCTATAAAATGAACAGAATGATATTTCATCTGACCATAGGAGGGGGTGGGGGACTTAATAGCTATTTTAGGTTCTAGCCAATTCTCTTGTTATATATAATGAGGTGAAAATTTAAAAACCTCAATAAAGTTCAGTTTTTCATTACTGAAGTAGTGAAGCAGAGGGGGCTCCGTAAGAAGTTTTCGCTCCAGGCCCCAATTAGGCTATGGCGAGCCCTGAGTATTCTTATAATAACTAAATGGAGGAGTTTGTGAATGATAAGATGAAAGGAAGGGTTAAAATGAATTTTTAAAAAAAATCGATCACGATGGTTGATAGATTTCGCACCTTTACATACCATCCCGTATGTTAGTTCTATATTATCTCGGTAGAGTGTCTAGTTTTTTTTATTATTATATGCGCATGCATGCGAGTTGTAACGTGAGAGAATGAAACAGATTTTAAGTACGCAAGCATGGAGGATGTAACGCGAGAGTCTTAAGAAAACGCCATACAACCAGGGCTAAAGAGAATACAAGGGCTAGTTCACTCCGCTCAGAGCTGAAGCTACGATTTCCCTCCTCATGACGTCACTGTGTCCAAAGATCTCGGAGATCGCAAGCAAAGATATGATAACTTTGCATCTTTCTCTTGTAAAAATAAGTTAGACTTTTTCTGGTTATTAGCCTTCAAACTTTACGTAATTAACACATTATTTCCGTTCATAAACATAGTTCAAAAAAAACTTTCTTGGTTATTATATTAAAAAAATACCATTTTAAACTTATAAAAATGTTTTGCTAGTTGGTGAAAATGACACGATAAATACTTTATTTTAAAAAGTTCAGTTTTAACTTTAACTATTAAGAAAAATGAAGGCATATATCGACACTTTTTTTATCTA